CATTTCAACCTTGGTAGGAAATTCTTTCCTTCTACCTAGACGAAATTTCTAATAATGCAGTTTCTTCCCGTTTCCCCTTGTGTAAAGACAGAGAGCGGCTGGCCACTATTTTTGGTGTTATAATCGTTTTTAGTCATTAAAGTTTGTCATTAGTGTTCCCTTCAGTCATTCACGACCAAGTTCAAATTTAATAATGCCTTTTATTTAACCAGCGAACCATCTCTAGTGAGTGTTCAAACTGCATGACTGGAAGAACAAATTTATTTTTGGCAATATGGTTTTCCTGGGCTATGAGCTGTGTCCTAAGCTCCCGGCTCATGGGTTTGGAAGAGATTCTGTCTTATTCTTCAGAGACCAAAAATTAGAATTTTGTGGGCCTGTTATTTTGGTCTGTGGGAACAGAGTGAGAGGGTATAATCCTCTTCATCTGTTATATCAAGGCTCCCTGGAATGGGGGTAGATGGTTTTTTGTCCCCCAGTCTGGTAAAACTGGAGCTAGCCTTATGTAGAAAACTAAGGGAAGGGCCATCGAATGCTTCTTTTTTCTCCACTTTAAGATGGTGATGATTTTGATGGTCCCTATTTCCTGACACATAGTGATCATTTTGTATATGTTTGTTTAGTTGTTAGATTGACAGAAAAATTGACTTGTGCATGTTATAAACTTCTGTAACAATTCTGTTCTCCCTGGGATAACACTTTAAGGTAAGATCTGGCATCAAGAAGAGAACAGGATGGCACGGCTCTGGCAGATTGCATATTACATTTCCATTCCATCTCATCCCAGGCTATCTCATTCCATCTTATCTTATTCTGCAGTTTCCTGAATGCATACTCTGTGCAAGGCCCTATGCTAGGATCTGGGGATGTCAAAAGGAAGTAGTCGAAATTCTTGCTCTAGAAGAACTCACAGTCTCAGGGGAGTATGGAAGATTAAAAGTGGCTGGAAATTCTTTTCTGCTCCTCCAACTGAGGAGTAGAGTCTAAGTCCCCTCCAAAGGAATCTGGGCTAGCTTGGTGACGTGGTTAAAGGATAGAACACAGCAGAAGTGATGTTTGGCCTTCTGGGGCCAAGTCCAAAGAAGTCCTGCAAATTCCACTCATTTCTCTTGGAATGCTTGTTCTGGGGGAGGCCAGGTACTATGTGAGAAGTCCAAGCACCTTAACTCTGTTCTGCTGAAAAGGTCATATGTGGGCAGTCTGGTCAGAAGTCCATGGTCACCCCACTGCTCCAGAAATTCCCGCCAACATGCCAGACTTGTGAGTGAAACATCATAAACCCTCCAGTCTACTGTGTTTACTAGCTAATCCTACTCGGTGTCCTCAGATTATAGACAAAAAACAGAAGAATCTCTTAGCCAAGCCCTGGCCCAAATCCCCTGCCCCTCCCAAAGAAAGGGATATCATAAAAAGGCTGTTGCTTTAAGCTACTAAGTTTTGGGATGTTTTTTTACCCCCTAAAAGATAACTAGAACAGAAAGGTATAAAAAAAAAAAAACCCAGGATCTAATAAGAATTCTAATAAAAGTTATGTACAAAGTACTGTTGGAAACAAATGTAGAATGAATTGTTCTGTGCTCAGAGAGGCTCAGACACCACACTGCAATACTTAAGGGGGCATCAGTCATGTTGTAGTCTGAGTGAACAGCGCCCCCTGGAGTTGTGCAATGCCCAACCTGTGCAAATATAAAGTGGCACTTGTGGGTAATGGGTGCCAGAAAGGCTTGTTAGCTGGGAGAAGAATGTAGAAAGAGAGTGGGAGCTGGGAGCTGACGTGTGCTATGAGAAGGGAGGAGTAATGGTCCTCCAGCTCAAGCATGTATCAGTAAGAGCAAAGCCTTAAAGGCACAGGTGCCCAGGATACCCTAGGAGCATGGTAACTAGTCCTGTGTAGTGGGCATGCTTGGTATTGGAGTTGGGGGTGTGGCTGGAGATGAACCTCCAAAGACAGAGTGATGTGAAGGGTATAACTTTGATAGCATGATGAGGAGTCAGCAGGAGTGAGGCAACAGGGAGCCATAGAAGATTTTAAAGTAGGGAGAGACAAACCCAAAACAGCATTTGAGAAAACTGCAGTTCAAAACCCCACAGACTGTGAAAGACACTGTTTGTTCTTCCAACTGCCTGCATCTCCCTGAAAGCTTGGCAGATCCATTTTTTATAGGAAAGTCTTAAACAACAGGGGATCACTCAGTGATTCATTTAAAAGGGTCATTAAAGGAAAATCGAGGTACCTCACATCCTGCCTTCTTTAATTGCTCATTTATTATTACTGTGGGTGAGATAACGGCTTGGTGTTATTCTTCTAAATAGTGTAAAATATTTATTGGTAAATATAGCAGTGCATAAATTAATGCCAGTTGAGATTCTGTGGGGCATTTTTCCTCCGTTGATAGCCATAATTTTCACTTAAAGAAAAACAATATTGTGCTGATCTATTCTGGCTCAGAGCTGAGCGAGAGCATTGTGAAATCAACATCTGGGAGACGATGTGTTTCTTAGTTTCCGTGGGACAGCAGAATTTGCTTGGTGAGGTGGTCCTATGGTTTGTTTATGGAATTCACTTCTTTCCCATTTATTAATACTATGGTGCTTGGGAAGAGGGCATGGAGAGGTACAAATTTTGTTTTTTCTGTCACATCTGAATTCAGTGACAAGCTACCCAACACAAAGTCATTTTTACAAGTGAAGATAGTTATTATTTCACTTAGCAGAAAAGTCCACAGGTAGGTGGTTCCATAGAGTCCATTCTCTGGGGCTTAACAATCAGATCAGCTAAGACCCAGGATTATGTCTTCATGTAGCAAAGTCTGAACACAGGAAATGTTTTTTGGCTTTGTTTTTCATATATTTTTCTCTTTCTCTTTCTCTCTCTTTTTATCTGTTTTTTTTTTTTTTTTTTTTTTTTTTTTTAATCCTGGAAAGAAACATTTTCCGAAATTCTTCAAGAGAGTTCCACTCAGGTTTCTTTTCCTGCTCTGGGTTCATATTCACCTCTAAACACATTATACACGAAAAAGAAAGACTGAGAGGAGATAAACTATGGCCCATTCCCCCTTTACTTGCTTATTACTCAGACTTAATGAACAAATCCAGGATTTTAGAAGCTGTACAATATTTGCACAGCCTTACACAAAGCTTTTTATCCTCCTCTTCTTCACAGAAAGATACAATGTGTGGAGGTCAATCCAGAAATACCAGTGTTGGTCAGGGAAACTGTCCTAGACGCTTCATTTTCTGCTGTGCACTATCTTAGGTCCACTTTCAAAGGGCTAGGGGATTGCAAATTCCTGAAAAATGATAGATCAGTTGCTGCGCAGCCCTTGTCTGTAATTTCTGGCTTTTCATGGACTAAGGAAAGGGATGCACCTGCGTTGGGTACATGAACACATGACACATGGCGGCTTCTGGAGGGTGGTGTGGACTTGGGGATTTAAAGAATGCTGCCTCTGAAAGCGTTCAGTGCAGCTGTGATGAGAGGTATCAGAGAGCGTCAGCTGAGATCACCCTGGTTAGGCCAAAGCTCCTGGTGGGGATGTCAAAGTAAACCCCAATCTTTCTGCCTGAGTAAATGCAGATATCAAGTACCTTGTGATCCTCCAAAGGTCTCGTTTCTCCCAGAACAGAAGTCATCATGAGTTCTTCATCAACATAATTTTTTTTGGCATTCATTTTAATTTGTAAAAAACGTAGCATTGCGACATTATCTTGATTACTGTGGTTTTTTGATGCCTCCTTAAATTTTGCACAGAGGCAAGTGGCACTGGCTGGAATTTTGAAGTCTGACCTCCTGGAAAGTCTTAAAACTGGAACTGAAGGAAGCATAAGCACCCTTCTGCCTCAGGGCCATTGATGGTGTTGGGCTGCGTGGCTCCATTGGGGGTTCTTTGTGGTTCAGTTTGGTTCTACTCAACAAATATTTATTGCACACCTTCTCTGAAACAGCCTCATGCCAGGTGTGGGCAACAGATACTCAGGACACTTGGTTCCTTCTTAAAAGATTTTAATCCCTGAGGTGGGGACTGAGGTTGCAGCACGATACCAGTGCCATGGTAAGTGCACTGTTAGAATTGAGCCCAGAGTGACGTGGGGACAGAAGGGACTCCAGATCTTCCTTTGAGTGAGGGGGTGACCTGTCAGAGCCAGAGTGCCTTTAAAGGATGAGCTGGTGTTGACCAGGCTCAGAGGTTAGAGTTAGTGCTGCAGGAAGGGGGAATGATGTGAGCACAGCTGCAGGGGCAAGGGGTGGAATGGTTTGAGCAGGAAACTCTAAGTGGTTCCATGTTGCTGAAACATGTATCTCGGGCAGGGCTGTTGTAATGAATAATGAAGCCAGAGACATGAGCCGGGCAAGATCGTGAAGAGCTTTGGAAATCCTACTAATGAGCTATGACTATTTCTAGATGACGGGGAATTATTGAGGTCTATGAAGCAGATGAAGAGAATGAGTCTTACTAATGGAAAGATTAAGGCTTTGCATTAAATAATGTCCTTCCACCCCAACTCCTAATATCTTTCAGTACAAGAATCAGTGGTCTGAGTTTCAGGGGCCTGTCCCAGGTTGTGCTTTTGGCTTTGCTATACGGATCACCTCAGCAGACTCAGCAAGCCCTCCCTGTCTCAGAACCCATGCTCTCTTCTGCATAACAAGGGGGGAAGTGCCAAACTTTGGCAAGCGCCCCTGAGCATCACCACAGTGTGATTTGGTACTAGCCTTTGGCTTCCCTTGAGAAAAATAAGAATTCATTCTGTAAGTCTGGGATGTCTTTCTAGCAGAGTAGTTTAGTGGATTTCTGTGCCACCCTGGTCCACAAGGCCTCCCTTCCCTGTGTAAATTATCAGTTTAGTCTTGTGTTCACCTTGCCAATGTTCCTATAAGACAGGTCCCTGAAGAGGGGTCTGCAGAGCACATCTGGAGGCCCAGCCTCTGGGTTCTTTACTGAGTGTGAGCCCCTCATGCATCCTTTTCCTGCAGTGAGTGCTTCTCCATGGGGAGAAGAATGGTTCTACCACTTCACGTGCAGCCAGGACCATCCTGCCTCCTCTGTCTTATGTTTTTTCTTAAATGGCTGCTTCTGTTCTCACTGCAGAGCTCCTCTGACAAGGAATCCATCCTGACCATCCTCAAAGTCCTCGGAGATCTGCTTTCTGTGGGTGAGTGGGCCACGCTCTCGTCCCCGTACTTGATGCATGTGGGAGCCGGCTGGTTACAGTCTCTCTAGGAAACTCTGTGGCCTGGGGGTTGCTCTAGCTCCAGTTTCCTATGACACACAGAAGCATTAGCCCATCTTTTTTCTTTAAGGTTAATAAGACCCAGAACAAACTGGACTGATTATACCTGGGCTTTTCAGTCTTGTCACCCGCCCTATGGGGACCCAAACTTAGGAGGAAGTTAGACTCTGTGTGGTGATCTATGGTTTCTGATCTATGAGGCCAAGAACCTCCAGGGGCCTGTGCCCACCCATCTCTGAGCTCTCCCGAGGGACAGCTACCCCTCTGCAGTTCTACCCCCTTCCTCCCTTACACTGTAGCCCATTTAGGAGAGCCAAGTATGGGCAGACCCCTTATATATGTCAGGTGGAGACAGAAATAAGAGGCAGGTGCTGGTCGTGGAGGCATGGTAGGCACCAGGTTGTGAAGGTAAGAGGGCAGAATTCACTACCCTGGAATCAGCTCAGATACTGGCACGTGCCTTTATCAGCTCAAGTTCCCGCTGAGGTTGTAGGACAGCCCAACATTCCCTCAACTTGCATCTCTGTGTGCGCCAGCCACGTTACATTAGAAAGAAATGTTAACACCACACAGGCCATACCCAAAATAAGTGATACTCCAAAGCCATGGGGCCTCAAGGATAAAGTTGCAAGAGGAATAATTCCACAGGCTGTGCTGCCCTCCACTACTAGTGTGACTTCCCTGTAGTCTTTTGAGTGAGTTTACCTTTGTGGGTGAGGCCACTTATCTTTTGGGACAGTGCTGTCTGCAATTTGTCTAGTGGGGTCTGAAACTCTTAGAATGCAACTTTGGAGTTCGCCCTCTGACATAGGTGGTGATAACTGCTCTCTTTTATAAAGAATGCTACTTTTTATGAGGATGAAAAATCAGAGCTTCTACTATGGTAAGGTCCAGCTTGCTGGCCATCTTGTTTAGGTCAACCATGCCTGGTGCACACAGGGCCAAGTGGAAAGGTAATCAGTGCTTTTGAGCTTTTCCTAGGGCAAGATGGGGGAGGTTCCTGTTCAAATTTGTTCTTAGGTAGAAAGATGAGTAGCTGATCATAACCCCAGAACCTCTTCAAAATTCCCTGGATAGGATGATTGGATATTTGTTTCTCAAGGGCTTACTTCAGTAGTTTCCATATTTTTCTCCCATCAGTTTCTGAAGGCCAACACAAAAAAAATTATAGCATCAAAAAAATTATTCCAGATGAGGCTAACATCCCAAACCCTATTAGAGATGATACAAACCTACAGCAAAGGGATGTTGGGATTCCCTCTTCTATTAAGCACCTATAAGCCTGTATGTGTCTTTACATATGCATATACATGTACACACACGTCGCACAGAAACGAAAAATTCAACAGATTCTCAGTTAAGTGGATTCTAGACTCTATTTATTACAGCTGCTTCAGGGGAATACACTCAGTTTCTTAAATATTCTACTATTTCCCCATTTCACACACCTCTTCTCTTCCTTAATGGAACAACTTTAACCCAAGTCATTTCAAGAACTACATGATTTTGTTTTCTGGGGTGAAATGAAACACTGCCTGCTCTGTCTCTAGCTGTGAGATCTGTCTTCCACCGCAGGGAAGACGAGGGTTATTATTTGTGGCTTATCCTTCCTCTGGGTCCCCCTCAGGCACAGACCGGAGGATGTACTACATGATCAGCAAGGGTGGCAGTGAGGCCCTTCTGCAGACCCTGGTGGACACAGCGAGGACAGCCCCTCCAGACTATGACATCCTCCTGCCTCTCTTCCGGCTGCTGGCCAAAGTTGGCCTAAGAGGTACGCACACCCCAAGACCCAAGATGACTGAAGAGGTACTTCTGAGGTTGTTATCATGTGATCAATTTGGGAAACTGGTGGGGAAGTACAGGGAGGAAGTGGCAGGAAAGTTCTGGACACCTTGGTAGTGGTGGCAGGACAAGCCCCATAAGAGGGTAATTTTGCTGACTTAGATGTCACCTAATCCAAGGGTTATGGTGCCTAAGAGGGTACTCAGAGCAGGCATGGGCTACATGGGTGTGGAGGAAAGATGGGAGATATTCCAATTAAGCGTTTAATTATTTTAAAAATAAACAGAATATGTCTATGTGAAAATTGCCTGATGTGACAATCCATTATATATAACTTTGTTCATTTCCTAGAGCTGCCATAACAAATTGCCACAAAGTGGATGGCTTAACACAACAGAAATTTATCCTCTCACCATTTTGGAGGTCAGGACTGCTGGGCTGGTTTCTTCCCGAGGCTCTGAGGGAGAATCAGTTCCACGCCCTTCTCCCGGCTGCAGGCACTGCCAGTCATCCATGGCGTTTCCTGGCTCGTAGTTGATCGCTCCATTCTTTGCCCCATCTTCACATGGTGTTCTCTTCTGGGTCCTCTCCTCTTTGTATGAGGACATTGGTCATAAGATTTAACGCCCATTCTTTTCTGTATGACTTAATGTTAGGTAATTAATCTGCAGAGATCTTATTTCCAAATAAGATAACTTTCTGAGGTTCTGGGTGGACATTTGGGGACCACTGTCCATTCACCTCACCATGATAAATCACACAGAAGTGGCACATCCTTGGTTGAAAGGAAGATGGGGGAGAGGCCTAGAGTTCTCCGCATGTAGGCCCAGAGTCATTTCTCCCCAGAGATGAACTCCCAAACCTACCTAGAACCCTAGAACTTCTTGGAGCACAGTTTAAAACACTGACACCCAGGACTCGTGTAAACCTCACTAACTGGTCATAACAGTTAAGCTTTAGTTGTGTGATGAGTCTGTTATAGGTCACCAATGAGAAGCTTAGGTCCTTTGAAAAACTGATCTTTGATGTCCCATGCTAGCAGCGGCAGCCATGGGCCAGGGGCTCTGGAACACTATTTTCTTCCAATGTTTGGATCTCCACTTTGAGTCCCATAAGCATTCCACAGATAATGACGGAGGACCTGGCATTGGCCAGCATCTGTGAAGCGTGTCCCAGAAAAAACCAGTATCTCTTTTCTCATGAAGAGCATGGGTTATGTAGGGTTGATCACAATCTCTTTGCTAGCATCCTTGGTTCTGAGGTAAATATTGGTAAACCAGGTTTAAGATATTGTCTCTCCTTTATGCATTTCTACCTATGAGAAGTCTGATGAGTGATGTATTCCTACCTGCAAAAATAAGTGTGACGACTTGGGCATCACACTTTGAATAGGACACAGACAAATGTGATGGGTGGCATAGTCACCTGGTGTCACAGTGGGAACAAGGAACATAGAATAAAAGACGCTTTAACCTTGTTTTCTATGTTTACTTTCTGATTGTTAAGGTAATAGTGACTTTTCTAGAACATCAGATGTCAGGTTCTTTAGGGCAATCACTTAGAAACATTAGAAGAGAAAATTTTATTTTCTTAAAGTACGCTTTGACTTTTTATTATGAAAATTCTCTTACATTCCTGAAACTTAGATTTAACATTCTTAACATTTTTTCATATTTCCTCCATCTACTTTTTATTTAAAATATTTAAAAAATTACAGATAGCATTTTGCTTCTAGATCCTTTCAAGGGCATTTGTTTGAAAAGAGAGACGTTTTCCTGCATAACCACAACCCTATTATTACAACTCTAATAAAATTAAAAATACGTGTATAATTTATATTCTCTCCAATTTGTCCAAGTGTTCCCATTTGTCTTCTGTAGACCTGTTCAAAGCAGGATCCCATCAGAGTTCACACACAATGCATTCGAATGTTGTGTCTCTTAAGAATTCTTAACACTAGACTTTTCTTAAAAGAACTTTATTCCCAAGTAAACTGTAGTTCGTGTATGAGGTCAACCTAAATATAGGGGCTTGAGAGTCATACAGCCCACCAGCATTCATGTAAATATGTGTATCCCGAATTAGTTCTTCTGATTCATTTGCTTCTAGTGGGGACATATTTAGCAGCACTTTTTTTTTTTTTTAACTAAATATGTCTGAAAAGTGTCTGGCTATGATTATCTCCCCTTCTCTACCATCTTCCCCTTCTTCTATTCCTCACATTGTATGGTCCGCAGAATCGATGTGAAGTGCAACTAAGATAGATTGATTTGTCTTCTCAGATAAAAAGTTTGGCCAAAAGGCACTGGAACTGGAAGCACTTGATGTGACCTTGATTCTGGCCAGGAAAAACCTGTGTGACAGCCAGAACCTTCTCCACTGTCTCTGGGCCTTGCGTGTGTTTGCCTCCAGTGGTAAGTGTCTCTGTGGCGGCTCCTTGGGTTGGGTTTAATACCTGGGCTGAGACCCCTGGAAACCATGCAGGGGTCTGGTTGGAAAGAGGACACCGGGGGGAGAGATGACCAGATATATGTAGAGGAGACTGAGGATCTGGAGACGTGGAGGTGAAAAGTTGTTTATTCTTTTGCCCTTTGGGCAGGTGGAAGTCTTGAGTCTGTCCTTTGATACTGTTTTTCCTTGGGGGGCACATGTTATAGGTTCCAAACTTTCCTATTGGAACTACACGGTGCAAACAACCTGTGGCAGGAAAAGGCCAGACTTTATTTAGTCCTTCTCCTAGTCAAGGAGGTGTTATGTGTGTTTGTCATGATGACCCTCCTATTGCAAACCTCTCTACTGGATCATTGAAGTTACTCATTGATTGCAACATCCTTTGCCAATTTTTTTTACTCTCATGATCTTTCTCTTTATGGCCCTTCCAGTAACTGCTAGGTACATCATAGCATGTGGGTTGATGCCTATTTGCCTCTCCTAATTGGAGTTATTTCTAATTATCATAACAATTCTGAATTGAGACCCTCAGTTTTATGGCTTAGAAAAATAAGTTTAGAAGAGGGAAGCAATTGCTTGAATTCACGCAGATAAAAAGTCATGAGGGCTGAATTTCCAACTCCAAAACTCATGTTAATTCTATTCCATATGGAGACATTTTTTATTAATAGATTAGATTCTATACCTCCTATCTCACATGTAACCAGCGCAGACTTTCATTTCTCCTTTGTGAGCCCCGTTCCTGTGGGATGAAAGTGACAATTATTTAGATGTAATATACTCTGTAGGGGAGAGAATGTGGCTTGGAGCCAGAAGGACCTGAGTGTGACTCTGATTCTATTTCTTATGAGTCATGTAACATGAGTACTTAACCCTTCTCACCTCAGTTTCATCCTTTAGAAAATTATGGTCGTGATCATTATTACTGTTAGCCTGCTAGGGCTGCTGTAACAAAAGACCACAGTCTGTATGGCTCAAACAACAGACATTTTTATTTTCTCTGAAGGCTGAAAGTGTGAGATCAGACTGTGAGCAGGTCTGGGTCCTCCCAAGGCCTCTCTCCTCGGCCTCTGGGTGGCTGTCTTTCCCCTGAGTCCTCACGTGGCCTCTCCCCCATGTTGTGTATCCTTGGTGTCTCTGTGTGACTCTAAAGTTCCTCCTCGTCTAAGAGCACAAGTCGGATTTGATTAGGGCTCACGCTAATGGCTTCCTAAACGAATTGCCACTTTAAAAAGCCTGTCTCCAAACACAGTCATATGCCGAGGTACTTGGGATGAGGGCTTAGTATATGAATTTTGGAGAGGACACTGTTCAGCCCATACAGAGCTCATAGACTTGGAGATGGGATAATAAGAAGGTGTTTAAGAGTGAACTTGATCCGTTTCTTTTCCCCGCCCTACTCTTTTCCCTTGGTCTTTTGAAATAACAGGATGACTACATATATAGGAAATATATAGGTAACTTTCCCCCTAAATATCCTAAGAACTACTAAAATAATCTGATTTTCATTGGTTAATTCTATTCGTAAACATGCAGGACCCTTAAAGAGGAAGTCCTACTGCAGAATAATGGGAGACAGGCTTGACTTCTTGTTCACAGATAGAGCCCCGTTCACCCATTTTATATATATTGACCAGAAAATCAGAAAGTATTTGAGAAAGGCTAAATGTTTCTGTACGAACTATTCTGTATATCTCTTGTAAAGGAAAAGAGGATCTGTGGCTTTGCATAAGGACACCTCTCATTAATGAGTAGACAGAAGGTAGGCCACCCCCGTCTGGAGCTTGCCAGCAGCACAAGATTTGAAGTAAGGCATGGTTCCTAAAGAATAATTAGGCTGAATAACTTGCCTTCCTTATGATATGTGGTGGTTGTGGAGAATTCAGAAAAGTTCTTTCTGCGTGAGCTCTGAGAGATCCTGGGATTTGCTTGTGGGTGTGAGGAGGTGGCCATTTGTCTCATATTCTAAGCTCACACATTGATGGTTCCAACTAACCATTTCATGGGATATTTTTAAAATTTATCCTGTCATTTTCTATACACCGACTGTACTGATGAGAGGCTAGGCAAGTTCACAAAGCCTGGGGGTTACTTTCCCTACAGTGAATTGATGAATTCAGAAAGCTTTCCAGAAGGGTTCCAGAAAGCTTTCTAAACAGCTGCTAATCTCAGGAGTTGCCTGGGAACATAGTAGGTCTTGGAGAGCCAATGAACCCTTTGGAAACTCTCAGATGGCCCTGAGGGTGAGTATAGAGCTGTCAGAGGCCGGATCTTGGACAGACACCCAGTAAGGATGAACTCAGAGAGAATTTCTCATTGTTATCTTCTCTGCCTTCCAAACAAGCCTGAAGTCTTCCATGTCAGAAGTGGCGTTCTTAAATTCATCCCCTCCCTAATGCAATTCAACCAGAATTTTGTTGAAGCATTTGCCAACAGTTTCCTCCAGTATGTTTTGCCTATTTAGAAGTAAGGACTTAGTAGCCATAGAGTGGACAATTGGTGAGCAGGACTAGGATGCCAACCCTTGAATTTTGATCGAGATACTTACTGCCTGCACTGGCCTCAGGAGGAACACATGCATGGAGGTCGTTCCAGGAGCACACGCTCTCTGTGATAGCTAAGGCTTCAGCCTGTCTCTGTCTGATAGATTGTGCTGGGATGATGATATCGGAGCCTCCAGATTTGCATTTAGCCTCCTTTTCTGAGCCTTGGAGCTAGTCAGGAGAAGCCACCCTTCTTCTCCACCCTCTCTTTGCTTCTCTGAGACTTCTTGTTCTTCCCCACATTTCTCAGAATGAGCCTGGTAAGCACAAGATGTTCCTGGGTCTTTGTTTTAAAAACCTCAGTGCGGTGGAGGGAAGGGAGAAGAGAGTCACCCCTTGGAAGATACAACGCTCTCTCCTTCTGCCCCTGAAATGTTTGCTCCTGCTGGACTGGCCACATGTTATGTCCTGTGCATTCCTCTTAGTTTCTGACATGCCCAGAACTTGTCCTGAAGTGATTTCCTGAGTGGAGAGGGTATTGGAGATATTGCAGAGAGGCTGGGGCATCTTTGGAAACAGGAATGACATCAGAGGCTTTATTGATCTGATCAGTTTCTATTATTCTTGTCCATGACTGTGTCAATTGAGCAAAAAGGCAAAGATTTCCCAGGCTCGTTATCTCTGGGCAGGAAGAGTGGATTCTTCCTTCGGGAGATCCTAGCATGGAAGTTGTAAGGGAGCTTACTGCCTGGGTGGAAAAGAAAGGGAATGATCTTGTTTATTAAGGTTGCCCCTTATTGTTTTAAAGAAGCCAATCCAAGTTGTACTGAACCGGAACCCGCCCACTTGTGACCATAACTGCTGCGCTCTTGTCTTTTTCAGTCACCACGGGAGCCATGCTGGGAATCAATGGAGCAATGGAACTGATTTTTGAGATCCTTACCCCTTATACCCGGAAGCGGACACGAACAATCAGGTACAGAGTCCCTTCGTAGAATTTCTGCTTTCTTTGTAACAGGTGGAGAGAGATGGAGACCACTCATATGTATTTTCATAATGTTTCCAGTTCAGTTTCGATGATGTCCCCCCGCCTTGGAGAAATACCAAAATGTCTTTATCCCTTCTCAGCTTACATCCCTCCCCACCCATGAGTCATTTCCTATCATTCTTGTAACAACCCTAAATGCGTGCATTAATATTCTCATTTGCAGAAGAGGAAGCTAAAATATGGAGTGAGCCTCATCCAAGGTCATGGTGCTAGGAGACGGTATGGTTGAGATTTGCATCCAGATCTCTTTTACTCAAACCCCATGTTTGTTTCCTTAAAGCCTTCAGGTGTATACTTTTTACTCACAGCCAATTTACCATAAATGAGTATAGTTCTCAAAAGACAGTCCAGAAATGATTGGGTCTCTAAAGAGTTGGCAAGCTAAACTTCTGATATGAGATCTGGGTCTTATAATAGTCCATCATGGTTGTGTGCTGATCTTGAGATATATTTTTATGATTGGAAAATGAAACTCAGCCTATTCTGTCTGCCTGTGCTTGCCGAAGTGGAGTGAATCACCAAGTTAAAAAGGGAGATGGTTAGACATGAAGGCTTTAGAGATATTCAGAACCATTAAGATCCATCATTTATGGGAGTGACTCAGCTAGGACCTTGAAAGAGTATTAGAAGAAATTCAGACAATTTCCAAGATATATGGGGTCATTTGGCAAGTAGCATTTCCATGCTCAGCCATGATATTTTCTGCATCCCAGCATCAATCTTAGGCTCATGTTCCACCTGATTATTTTTCTCTTGGGTCACCATGGTAATGCCATTATCATCCATTCTCACCTGCAGTTCTCTACACCAGCATTTCCTAGAGTGAAATATATTGTATTTCAGTTAACAGCAACAACAACAACCTCTCATCAAATAAATTAGTTTCTTTACTATGTAGTATAAGTCTGTTCAGAACCTTTGAAAAGCCAACACACTTTGAGACTATCTGAGATATTCAGTTTTATGGGATATTAAGGGGTATCCAGATATCAGGATTATGTAGTACATTCAGTTCCAAAACTGATTTGGCTGGAGAACTGTCTTTTTTTCCCCTTGGAGGCTACCTTTTTTGGTGTGGGTCAGGTTCTCTATATGTCATTTTGGAAACCTCTCCGCTTCAGCGTGAATTTATTGCAAAGTAGAATTCAGGTAAATCCTAGGAAGGTGCCTTCATCTAGTAGGTGTAGGACTTGTAGAGTCACAAACTCAGGGACAAAAAAAAAAAAATTAACTTCCTTTACTTTTTGGTAATTATACTTTATTTTTGTCTTAAACTTCCATTTATTCCAAATAACAAAACATATAAATTCACATTTTGTCAGGAATCTAAGTCAAATTAGTGATTCTTTGATTCATTCTGAGTTTTCACTCCTCTCCCTCTCCTCCCGGGCCTCTGCATTCTGAAAAGCTATGATAATGTCAAGGTGTCAACTGGCAAGCACAGTTTGTTCTCACTGATCTTGTGTCTATTTGGATATGTGTGACTTGGTCATGTCTCTCTCTCTCTTTTTTTTTTTTTTGAGAGAGAGTCACTCTGTCACCCTAGGTAGAGTGCCGTGGTGTCATAGCTCATAGCAACCTCCAACTCTTGGGTTTGAGCAATCCTCTTGCCTCAGCCTCCTGAATAGCTGGGACTACAGGTGTGTGCCATTATGCTCAGTGAGTTTTTCTATTTTTAGTAGGGACGGGAGTCTCACTCTTGTTTGGGTTGGACTTGAACTCCTAAGCTCAAGCAGCCCACCTGCCTCTGTCTCCCGAGGGCTAGGATTGCAGGCGTGAGCCACTGTGCCTGGCCACCATGTCTCATTTTTACAATGTATGCAGGCAGGCCTTTGCTGCGGATATCTGCAATCTCAGTGTGTCCTTTGGTCACCAATCCATGAACTTTATCTTTCTGTGCTTTATTCACAAGGCCTCTTCGAATCTGATGCTGTCACAATTCAGCTGTTTAGAAGTTTAGGAATATCTGGTTGCTTCCCTTACACTGTGTGAAAATCTATGTGATGTCTGACGGGCTCACCCACATACAAGTCTCACTCGGTCACTCTTCCTTGCCAGCTGAATGCTGTGTTGTTTAGCAGGCTTCCCTAGGAAGCCCTTTCCAGCTCACAGTCTCAAGGCACAGAGGCCCCTCTCTTCTGAGGTCTTGATAGGTTTTATTGGTCTTTGTCATTCAGTCTCCTTCTCATGAACTCTCACTAGCTGCTATCTTTATTGCCTTCTTTTCCTCCTGCAAAAGGAGTTGAATTCAGGCATGGATCTGATTAGGGTGTTGGAAAACGGGGATTAACGAGAGTGGGGTGCTTCTAACAACAACAAAAAAGAGCTTCAGGCATATTTCTGCATGTCTGGTTCATCCTGTCAATTTGGGGCAAGATGGTTCCCCTTCTTCAGCCACACGCCAGGTTGAAACCTAACCTCCGTGGAGGAGAGGCTTTTCCTCCACCCGTCACAGTAGAGCTGGCCCTTCCTCGGTGTTTAGTAGGTGCCCTGCACCGTGCTGAGCTCTCAGGATGCATTATCTCCTTTAAGCCTCTCCTCTCCTCTGCCAGGCAGGTGCTATTACTGTCCCCAATTTTACAGGAAAAGAAATTGAAACTGAGAGAAGTTAAGTAACATGCTGGGTTTTAAGCGAAAGAGCCGGGATTTAAGCCCTGTCTGATACATGAGCCTCAGCTCTTAAGCCTCCACTGGAGTAGCTTACCCAGTCCTATTACCAGCATTTTATTTCTAAAACCTTCATAGGTAAGAGAATCATAAGCAGTTAAGTTTGCTTAAATTTCTTTTACCATCTAAATGGCTCATTCCCATGGAACAATTTGCCTAACGGTAGGGGAGTCTTTCGCCTCCCTGGAATGGCCATTTCCTCTCACAAGCTAAGTATGTCCTCCCTCGGTTGCTGTCCACCTTCCCCTCACTCCTCAACGGCAAGATAAGAACAAAAGTGCTGAAATTGGACGACCTGTCCCATAATTCCCCTTCTAGATGATTCCCTGGTGATTCATTTGACTTTGCCTGATGGACTTCGAAATTTCTTAACATGTGCATTTCTAGTCTTACCTTCTAGATCTGTTGGGGACATTAAAAAATAACATTTAAAAACCTTGTGAGCTTTGATAGCCTATAGCACTGTTAATCGTTATTAATATGAATATTATTCGATATATCTGGTTGTAAACACATATGTAGTGAGAATAAGATGGAATGGGTCAGGCTAGGGCCTATGTGACATGCTGGTCTGGTCAGTTAAGGTCCTGCCTGACCTTCACCTCGTATCTCCCATTCTTATTGTTTTGTGAATTCAGCTTTAACCTAAAAGTGTATATCTTGAGTTATCTAGGGCAATGAAGAGACTACTTTTTGAATTTGGAATGTTGTTTTGGGTCTTAGATTATGCTGATTATTGTTTTTTCTTTTCTTTTGAGACAGAGTCTCACTGTGTTGCCATAGGTAGGGTGCTGTGGCATCACAGCTCACAGCAACCTCAAGCTCTTGGGCTTAGGCAATTCTTTTGCCTTAGCCTCCCAAGTAGTTGGGTCTACAGGCGTCCGCCACAACACCTGGCTATTTTTTGTTGCAGTTGCCGTTGTTGTTTAGTTGGCCAGGGCCAGGTTCAAACCTGCCACCCTCAGTGTATGTGGCTGGTGCCGTAACCACAGTGCTACAGGCGCTGAGCCTGATCATTGTTGTTTAAGATAAAGATTAACATTGTTTTTACTTTGAACTTTCATGTATAAATCCGTGGTTTTAGAAATGGAAGAACAGAACAGTCTTGGAGAGACTACTCTCGCCATTCTGTGGAACGGCTGGCCTTCTGACAAATAAAGTTTGGTGGACCTTTCCCCATCTCTGCTTATTGGCAGCCAGACCCTCTTCGTCTGGTACCAGTTGCCTGTCACAGACCGGGATGCAGAGGTGAATGTGGGAATGGATACTCCTGCCCCTTCTATCTTCTGTCCCGAACTCCATCCCCAAACTAGCAACTGAGGCGTGTACCCAAATGCATTCTGCTCACCTCCGCTTGGATGCCTGAACCTGTATCGGGGGTCTGGCAGGAAGGGGATGAAGCGCATGTCAGGGGACAGGGCAGCTCTGCTGGGCAGCATCCTCCAAACACGAGCAAGCTATTGAGAGTTATTCCGGGAGCCTTTGGTGGCAGCAGATGCCCAGTGTTGTTCCACTATGCCTTGTCCCTCCTGTGGAGATTAATCCTGCCCTACTTCTCCAGCATGAACCTAAAATTAGACGTGCAGCTGTCCTCCTATGAAGCCCTGTCTCCAGATTGTACTCAGGGTGAGATTTATGACAGAAACTCCAATCACACACCTACTAGAGAGAGGACGCGGACAGCAATGTCACTAACCCTCTGCGGCCTTGTGCCAGCCCTCACCCTGGGGGAGGCAGCTATTTCAGGTCTCCTCCGCGTCCCGAATGCCCACTGCGCTGCACACCCTCGCACTGGCTCATGCCTGCTTCCTCCTTGGCGCTGCACAGAGCCACCCTCCCGTCTGAGCAGTATAGTGGGATGTGGAGTGCCACTGTAGTCCTCTCACTGGTCCTCCTTGACGTCAAAGCTGTTACGAATGTTCCTTGGTTTCCTTTTCCAGCCTGATTTCTGGTTCCTCCTCTCATTTCTCTTTCTAACCAGCCATCCCTGAGGGGAGCATGCCCTATTCTGCCCCAGCTGCTTCCCTTCTTAGGGAGTGGCCTTGCCACCTGTCCAGTGACAGAAGTCCCACCCTGTCTTCTGACTCCCCCTGTTCTACTTGCCCCATCTTACCAGAGAGAGAGAATCTTCTCTCCTCTACGATCGTCCAGAATTTTGTCCCCCCTTCCCTTGATATGCCTTGTATTTCCGTCTGTCTCCTCCCTAAATCCTATATTTTCTAGAGGCAGACATCAAATTATATTTGTCTTGCTGTTCTCCC